ACTGTTGGTGCCGCCCAAAGACCTTATATATAAATATGTTGAAGTTTTTTTTTTTTTTTTTTAAAGAAAACATGTAACTGAATTACAATTTCAGAAGTGTGGGAAGGGATCCAGTAACACTTCTGTTTCCCCATATATAAAACACAGAGAACTGTGTCTGTATGCTGTAGCTAAAACCAAGCCAAAATCTAACTGACTGTCACTTCATTGATTCTGACTCATAGCAACCTGCTGGAGGGTTTCCTAGGGTGTAAAGCATTTTGGGAGTAGAAAGTCTCATCTTTCTCCCAATGAGCGAATGTCAGACTCAAACTGCTGATCTCGTGGTTAGCAGACCAATTTGTAATCTACCATGCTACCAGATCTCTGCGAGAGACATTTCTCTTTTTTGGTGGTTATGTACCATTAAGTCAGTTCCAAAACTCATAGTGACCCTATATAGGGTTTCTGAGGCTGTAAATCTTTAGTGGTGGTGGTAGTTATGTGCCGTGGAGTCGGTTCCAACTCATAGCGACCCTGTAAAGGGTTTCCAAGGCTATAAATCTTTACGGGAGCAGAAAGCCTCATCTTTCTCCAACAGGCAGCTGGTAGTTTCGAACTGCTGACCTTGATCCGCAGCCCGATTCGTAACCACTACGCTCCCAGAGCAGAAATTTATCTTTTACCTGTAGAGGATCTGGTAGATACAAACTGGTGTTAGCAGCCCAGCTTCCAATCCACAAGGCTACCAGAACTCCTCTTATACATTCCTAATAAAGAAACAGAGTCGTTGTGTGATGCTCTGGGATAAGCACTGGACTGTTAACTGCAAAGTTGGTGGTTCAAACCCACCAGTTGCTCCTTGGAATCAGAAATGACTTAAAGGCACGTAACAATAAAGATGACACTTAACAACGAAACAGTAATACAGCAAAGTCATTTCTCTTTGTAAGTTCTATCAGTTGGAACACATCCTGGTATGTCAAAAGATGAAAAAAGTACAAAGGGACTTCAGAAAGTTCCTGAAAAACTGGAATTGAAAGAGAATGGATTTTTCCCAAGAATATTTTGAATTCCCCTTGTATGTATCTTGAAATCAGTGAAGTACAAAAGTAGGTAAATAAATCAACAAAATCCTGAACCAGGAAAATTGACTACACAGAGGCAGTGTGAACCCAAGTTTTCAGTTGGAATAACAAAATAAAAGTCATGTGTGTTGTGCATTATCATTTTCTAGGGGTACCAAAACCAATTACTACAAATCCGCAACTTACAACAATAGACATTTATTCTCTTCAAGTGTTGGAAGCCAGAACTCTGACATCAAGGTTTTGGCCTGGCTGGTTCCTTCCGGAGCCTTCTGGTAGAAGGTCTCCTTGGCTTGTAAATGCATCACTCATATGCATGCCTGTGTCTCCACGTAGCCTTCTTTTCTCTGCATCGCTCTCTGCTGTGTTTGTGTTTTGCCTCTTTTCATAAGTGGGCTCTAAATCATATTCCAGGATGATTTCTTCTTAAAACCCTAAGCTAACTACATCTACAAAGACCGTACTTGCAAATTAGGTGACCTTCTGAGGTTCCAAGCAGACATAAATTTTTGGGAGGCATTCTTCAATCCACCGCACATGATTATCTAATTAGCAACACTGTTCTCAGTGAACTATGAAATTATTGACATCAGTGTCACTTCTGGAATGTTCTAAGAAGTTGATGGAGATCTCTCTCTCTCTCTCTCTCTTTTTAAAAACATATTTAGTACTGCCTCCATCAGGAATTCTCCAGGATTATTTAATAATCTAATTAAGGCATGAAGACAAACAGGGAGGGCAGACACTGACTGATGATTATGTATGAATTCATCCCAGCACTTCACCCAGCAAGTCGTTAGCTTTGGGGAAATGTTTGACCTAAAGGTGCTTCTTTGAGATTAGAAACCAAAGGAAGGATCTCCATCAATCCTTCCCAAGCCTCACTTTCTTGCTTACTCAGTGCTGAAGTCAGATACTATTTTACTAACATTATAATTACTCTTAATTTTTTTTTACAATTGTATACAGTGTCCTGTGGGAAATTAGCACTCTTGTTGTAGGCATTTAATTAGGTTTATAGTTTCAATCACTTCATATTTGTGCCGTCTTCAGTAGTTGATTGCCAACTTTCTCTCTTGCTGGTAGCTTGATTCTCTGGGCACAGGTTCTACCTTTATGTGTTTTACAAATGAAACTTTGCCTTAGTATTTTGTGCTTTCCAGCAACTCAATTTTTGCTTCCTGCAGCATACAGGTTATATGACAGGGAAGGACAAGAAAAAAATTCTGAATAATATAAAGGTTATTTTGAGGAAGGACTATCTGCATGGACAAAAAGTCTGAATATGGAATATTTTAAGCTAGTTTTGTCATGTAGAAGCACACGAGGTGACATAAACCCGGCAAAGTCTTCACCACGGGGAATTTTTGGGGAAACCAGTTTTAATGAGTAGATGAGATTGTTTATAATCCATATAATGATTTATATGTAAATAGATGTTTCTGAAAATCATAAGGGGCCTGGAGAGTATTCAAAAATGTTATTTTTCAATAATGTCTAAACATTGCCTCTACAATCTCGTCTGCGTTATTTCTCTCAGAGCAAAAGTAATCCGTCTAGCCTGGTATAACCAGAGCTGGTATACTAATTATGTCTTATAGTTGCATAACATTGTCCTAAAATATACATACTATAAACAGTAAACATACATTCTTACATGGAGTTCCTGGGGTCACGAATCTCGGAGTGGCTTAGCTAAGTAGTTATGCTTCGGGTCTCTCATGAGATTCTAGTTCCAGTGTTGGCCAGGACTGTGAGCTCTGAAGATTTAATTGAGACTGAAGGATGTTTCCTGATTTACTTGTAGACTGAGTGACAGTAGATCTGTATCATAGGGGTCTCTTCAGAGGGCTCCTCATGACTTGGTTTCCTCCAGAGATAGAGAAATAACAGGCATAGCTCTCTTTTATAATGTAATTTTGGAAGTGACATGCCCTCTCTACTGTTGCCATATTGCTGTTTTACACACACCAACCCTAGTTCACTCTGGGAGTGATCTGCACGAGAAGGCTTCTTGACTGCTGAAGGAAACTTCCGGTGCTCACTACAGTGACCTTCCCATAGGGCTGCTCATGCAAGGCTTCCCTAGAATCAGTGATCTGAGAGGGAACAAGAGCAGCACCCAAGATGTTGGCCACCTAATCTTGGCAGTGACATGCCACCCCTTCTGCCATATGCTACTGGTCATACAGACTAACCCTGGTACAGCGTAGGAAGGGGCTACACAAAGATGAATGAACACGAGGGATTCCCTTCAAGGCTGGCTACTATAGTTACCATGTATTTTATTTACCTAGTGCTGTGGGCGAATTCGTCAGACAACAAAGTTGTTTGAACTGCAAAGTGTGTGGTTCAAGCTCACCAGCTGCTCCTTAGAAACCCTATACAGGGTTGCTATGGGTTGGAATCTACTCTAAGGCATTTAACAACAACCACAAACCATCAGTTTGGAGTTCTGGTGTGGCGCTGTGGGTTAATGCACTGGACTGCAAAGTCAGTTTGAGCTGCAAGGTTGGCAGTTCAAACTCACCAGCCTCTCCTTGGAAACCCTATACAGGGTCACTATGGGTCAGAACTGACTTGACGACACTTAATAACAACAAACCATCAGTTTGAATCACAAGGTTGGCAGTTCAAGCTCACCAGCCCCTCCTTGGAAACTGTATACAGGATCACTATGGGTCAGAACCGACTTGATGGCACCTAACAACAACAACAACTATATAATATCAGTACCAAAAAGTAAATGACTTCAAAGAACAGGAATTCATATCTCACAGTATTGGGGGCTGAAAGTCCAAATCATGGTATAAGCTCTAAGGAATGGTCATACCTTGCTGGTAGCCCTGGATTTGTTGACAGATATTAACATGGTCTCTTCTCTCTGTGTGTTATTTCTCTCAGTGTCTGTTCTGTTCTCTTGTAAGACACTACTCAAGAGAGATTAGGTTTAGAACCCAACCCCATCCCGGTATGACAGCATTAACTTAACAAGAGAGACCTGGAATTCCAAACAGGGTTCCATTCACAGATACCTGAGTGAGGACCTTGACATATGTTTTGGGGACACACAGTTCAATCCATACCAACACATAACCATCAGATGCTACCATCCTAGAACTGACGTTTGAGTAGAATGTGGAAATATTTACTCAGGTCCAGCCTTGAGAATGATTCCAAGAAAGGCTGAACTTAGCTCACTCTTGCTTCTACAAAGTTATAATAATCATCCAAAAATTTATCTTTGCATTCAATTAGTGTAGGGCAGTACGATGTAACATAACACAACCACGATGTGACACTCTTGTTGTTAGGAGACTTTGAGTCAGTTCCAATTCATAGCCACGCTTAGGTTTCTGAGGAGTAGCTAGCTGCTGGGTTTGAACTGCTACTGTATGGTTAGCTGGCCAATGCTTATACCTACAGCACCACACCAGACACAAACGTGACACTAGAAAGCCATTATTTTGTACACCACAGATTTAGCATTATTCTAAATCTGACGTTCATATTAATTTGAAAGAATGAGGGGGCTTCAAAAAGTTATTGTTGTTGTTATATGCCGTGGAGTCGGTTCCGACTCATAGCGACCCTGTACAGGGTTTCC